GTGGTGCCCCTTCGTTGCCCGACGTTCTTCCGATCTGCGGGCTAGGAAGGTAAAGGGGCTTACGCTCAAAATATACTATTTACTATTTTCATCATGGTCTTGATTTAAAAATATATATATATTTTAGTTTAGTTGGAGGACACAATACTTTTATTTATTTTTTAAATCTTTATGGGGTGCTGAGGATCAAACCCAGGGCTTTGCACGTGCTAGGTGAGCGCTCTGCCGCTGAGCCCCAGCCCTTATTTTCTTTTTTTCAATGGTGCTTGGGGATTGGAACCAGGGCCTTGTGGACATGCTAGGCCCACGTTCTACTGCTGAGCTACACCCCAGACCTTTTCTCTTTTTTTTATTTTGAAAGAAGGTCCCCCTAAGTTACTGAGGCTGGCCTCAAACTTGTGATTCTCCTGCCTCAACCTCCTGAATTGCTGGCCTCAAACTTCCTCCTGCCTTAGCCTCTGGAGTCGCTGGGATCACAGACGTGTGCTACCCCGCCCGCTTACTGCGATTTTTTTTTTTCTAAATGTGCACATTTGTTACTTCATGACTTCTTTAATGGAAAATAAAGCAAAATAAACAAATTTTTAAAAAGTAAAAAGAAGGATTTCTCGCTGTCCTCAGTCACCCTCGGCTCTGACACCCTGCGTCCCCTGGTCTAGCCTTCTACCTTTTCCCTTCCGTGGGCTACAGCTCTCTGCCCCCCACCAGGCTGGGGCTGCTAAGTGGGTGAGATGCCCGGGGCCCAGGGAGGCTCCTGTCCCTGGGTAGAGATTCAGAGGGGGGGTTTGGTTTGGGCGGTCCCGGTCCAGGGCCATCTCTTGGCAGCATCCTGGCCTCACCCGCCCACTCGGCACCCCCCGCTTGGCTCCCCGAGGGGAGCCCCACGGCCGCGCACCTGATTTCCAGATGTCCAGGTGGGCGTGCAGCACGTCCCCGCCCAGGGGGGAGCGCTGGCGGAACTGCTCCTCGGACAGGGCGCACAGCTCCTTGCCGCCCAGGTCCTGGAAGGCCCTGCCCACGGGGGGCAGGCGGTACTGGTGCTCGGTCCACAGCAGCCACTTCTGCACGTTGCCGGGGCTCCAGCCCACAGGGTCTGCGTGGGAAGGGCCCCTCAGCTCGGGCTTGGGCACCACCCACGGGTGCCCCACCCACAGCTGATTCACCCATGGGAAACTGTGGCCTCGGGCCATGCGTGCCTCGGATGGGGACAAGCCAGACTTAGACAGGCCTGGGGGGGTGCCCTGTGGAAGCAGGCACCCCAGGAAGGAGGGGACGCAGGGGAGGAGCTGGGCAGAGAACCAAATTTGGCTCAGGGAAGGGCCTGGCCTCTGCCCGGCCTCTCACCCAGGCCTCGGTCCCCTCGGACCCCTCCGGCCTCCAGAGGACCTTTCAGGACAGCCCCAGCCCTGGCAGGGATGGTGACAATAAGCTAGAGACACCAGAGCTTCTCCCTAGACGCCTCTTGCCTTCCCCAGACCAGAGGAAAACCTAACCAGGAATGCAGGTGACAACCCCAACACCATCCCCGTCATCTTACAGAGAAGGACACTGACCCAACACCTCACAATGGGCGGGCTGCATAGTAGCTGCTCAATGCACGTGTGTGGAAGAAAGAAGTGACGGGGGCAGGGCGGTGATGGGGCAGCTACAGGACTCGGGCCAGGAGGGGCACACCGGCTAGGTCCCAGTCTCCCGTGGGAACTACCCTGGAGGGAGCCCGGGCTGGGTACAAAGATGGACGCATCCAAGGGAACACCATGGCCCGAGGCCGTGCCCCAGCAGGTGACCTGCAGGCTAGGCTGCTCCCGCTTCATAAACCCATTTTCCTCCCGAGGTCAAAGCAATTTGTTTCTGTCCCCATTGTTCTGAGAGTGCGTCCCTCCCAGGCCTGGTATGGGGGAAGAGGCGTCCTGGGAGAGGCTCTGCGTCGGGGCTGGCACAAGTGTTGGATATGGTAAGATGGGGGTGCCCCTGAGTGTGGGCACCATGTGGGACGCTGGGGAGCAGGGCTGGGACAGAGGGATGTGTGACGACCCCCCTTTCCCTTGTGAAAGCTGCAGGGTGAATAGGGACGCTCAAACGTGAGCCCCCAAACAAAAGTGCCAGGGGGACGATTCACCAGGGACGAGCCCCACGGCATCAGCTCCATGACCACCCCAGGCCCGGCGCACACATGCTCGTCCATGAACCTCATAGTGACCTCTGTGTTAAGTCACCACTCGGTTCCCCAGGCCTAGAACAGGGCTGGCCTGGGAAGAAGCACCTGTGGTTGAATTTGTTCCACAGCTGTTTATTGAGCATCTGTTATGTTCAGGGTGCTACCCTAGGAACTAGGGCTCTGGAAATGAAGAAACAGAGGAAAATCCCTGCCTTTGTGGAGTGCATATCATAGTGGGGGACACACAGTCAACAAGATAGGAAAGAAGCAGCATGTCAGACGGTTGGGCCCGCTGTGAGAGATCTAAAAAGAACTATGAGAGATAAGGAGAGTCAGAACATAGTCAGCAATTTCTTTCTTTCTTTCTTGGTACTGGGGGTTGAACTGAAGGATGCTTTACAACTGAACTACATCCCCGGATTCTCTATCCTTTTCATTTTTTTTAATTTTGAGACAAGGTCTTGCTAAGTTGCTGAGGCTGGCCTTGAATTTGCAATCCCCTTGCCTCAGCCTCCCAAGTTGCTGGAATTGTGGGCGCGTGCCACTGCACCTGGCTGTGGGCAACAATTCCAATAGAGGGACCAGAGAAGGCCTCATTGAGGGGGTGTCTGTCATCAGGACCTGAAGGAGCCCAGTAGGTATTTGAGGGAAGAGTATTATTCTATGGTGAGGGACCAGCAGGTGCAAAGTGGTGAGTGTCATGGGAACAGCAGACAGGCTGGTGTCGCTGGAGCAGAGTGAATGAGAGGACAGCAGAGATGAATCCCAGAGGAGGTGGGCCAGGTGACAGAGCCTGAATTCACTGGGGACACTGGGCAGAAACCCTCCCAGACCTGGCTTCAGCTGATGTGCCTTGTGGGCTGACTGTGTGAGGAGTCCCAGCGTCCCTGGGGCCGCCTGGGGCTGGGGCAGGTGGCCTCATCCCGTCCAGTGGTGCCCACCCTCCTCAGCCCTGCCCTGCCCTGCCCAGGGAGGCCCGCTCACCTGCGGTGATGCTGAGCAGCCTGCAGGCCGTCTCGATGTCCTTGAGCACCTCGCCCACCACCATGGACTGCACCTGCTCCAGCGAGTGCTCCTCCAGGGCCAGCGCCCCCGGCACCAGGTCCAGGCCGCCCCCCGGCGCCTGGCTGTCGATGACCGGGCACTGCTCGGGCTCCTCGGGCGGCTCCTCCCGAGCGCTGGCCGGGGGCCCTTTGGCGGCCCAGGTCCCCTCCTCGGGGTAGAGCATGTCAAAATAGGAGAGGTAGAAGGCGGACAGGCCCTGGTCGGGGGTGGCCGGGCGGCGGGGGCTCCAGGCCCGTCTCTCGGGCGCCGCCCCCTTCTCCAGGCCGTCGGGGGGCAGCAGCAGGCAGCCGGGGGGCGCGGCGCTGGGGCTGGCGCTGCCCATGGCGCCGGGGCTCGGGCGGGCGGCGGCGCCTGCGGAACGAGAGGCAGAGTCAGCGTGGACCGTCCCGGGGCCGCTAAGCCCGTTAGGGACGAGGCCGGTGGGCAGTGGGCCCGGCCTGGGGGCTGGGCTTCTGGGTCACTGGGCAGCGAGGCCAGGGCCGGCGGGAACCTCGGCCAGGTGGGAGGCGCAGGAGGGCCGTGGGCAGCGCCTCCCCTGCGGCCGGCTCAGAGCAGCCGAGGTTCTGACCGGCCAGTCCCCCCGACGGCTGAGGAGCCCCACTGGGCAGATGAGCAGAAGAAGGGCTGGACTGGAGCCCTTGATGTTCAGCCTGTCCTGCTCATCTAACCTGAATCTTTCCTGCTGTAGCCAAGGTGTTTTTTTTTTTCTTTTTAAATCCTGCCTTTTAAAATTTTGTTGATTTTTGTTTCCATGCTGGGGTTGGACCCATGCCAGGTGGGTACTCTGCCACCAAGCCTCACCTCCCCCGTCCTTCTATGCCGCCCTTGGCAGGGTGTGGAAGGAGGAGGTCACCGAAGGCTGCCTGCATCACCAGCCCCGGGAGACAAGAGAGTCCCTCCCCAGGGTGGAGACAGGAGCCCCCGCAAGTTGGGAGCTGTCCCTTCCCCTTCCCAGGGGCTGTCGGGGTGTGAATGGAGTCACAGGGAGCGGCTCTAAGACACCACCACCACCCCCCCCGCGTCCTGGTTCCCCCCCTGCCTCACCCTTCCTTGGAAAGCGCTGCCCAGGGCCCCCCAGCTCCCCGGCCCTCTGGGGTGGTGCCCAGTGCTGGGCTTTCCTGGTGGGTGACCGGGTGGCTCCAGAGAACAAGAGGGCCCTCGGCATCTCGATGCCCCCTCCTCACTGCTGCCCCAGGGCCCCCAGCCCCCGCTGGCCTTGGCACCAACTCAGAAGCCCCCCACGGCCAGCTGCCCGGGCCGCATCAGACCACCCGGCTCGGGGGGCAGGGACTGAAGAGGTGGGTGTCCCCTAGGACACCAGGCTCCTGGGGACAGTGGGTGATGTGTGGGCCCAAGGCTCAGCACACATCCAGACACAGGCGGAAGGTCACCCAGGTGCTGCGGCAGAGGAGGAAGGGAAAGGACAGGAGGGACGGAGGATGACCAAGGGACCAGGGCCGGGGACTTGCCCCCTCCCTCCAGGCCGTGCGGATGTTAAAAACCAAGGGTCTCAGAATGTGGCGCCCGGAACAGCAGCAGCAGCAGCAGCGCCTGGGAACTGGGTGGAGACCCAAATCCTCAGGCCCCCTCAAAGCCAGAGTCGGGAGCCCTGGGGCAGCTGACGCCCACTCTCCGGTCCTCTGAGAGTTCAAGTTTGAGTTCTGTTTCTTTTTGCACTGGGCCAATCCAGGGGCGCTTACCCACCGAGCCACATCACAGCCCTTTTTATTTTTCATTTTGAGACAGGGTCTCACTAAGTTGTTGAGGCTGGGCTTGAACTTGTGATCCTCCTGCCTCAGCCTCCTGAGCTGCTGGGATCACAGGCCTGCGCCACCGTGCTTGGCTTGAGTTGCCTTTTTTAAAGGTATCTGGCCGGCGGGAGGAGGAGACTCATCTGAGGACTGATAGCTTCTTCCAAGGCCAAATTTATAGGAGTTCACTCCCAGCGTGGAGGGCGTGTGTTTCCCGGCCCATCCAGTGTGGACTGACCTGCTCAACCTCAGTGTGCGCTTGGCCTTTGCCCCTGCAGATGGAGCAAGGGAAAGAACCTGGTTTGAAATGATATCCCTTCCTCTCCAGGTAGCAAAACTTGGTGAATGGGGCCCAGCTAGAATTTCAGCGCCCTCTACCCATTCCTCTTACTCAGTGCCCAACCTTCCCAACCTTCCATGGCAGCCCCACAGTTTCCTGCGGTAGCGAGAGTGCCAACAGGAGAGAAGGGTGTTCCCTTTGATTCTAACTCTTCCTTTCAAGGGCTCCTTTAAGTGACAAGGAAGAAGAGGTCAGGGTGGGTGGGGTGGGCAGGGACAGGGGGGCTGGTGGTGGGGGACAGAGGGCAGGTCTGGAACCATTTCAAGTCCTTCTGTGCAAACACTCATGTGTGCCATGGGCCCATGCTATTTACCCAGGCCGCGCCAACAGCCCTCGGTGCCCCTGGGTCCCCACCCCAGCCTGTGCCCACACCCTAACCCTAGGCAGCTCCACCCCCGAAGAGCCCCCACACTTTCTCCTTCACCTCCCGCGAGCCTCCCGCCCCGTCCACGTCCTCAGAACCCCCTGCCTGCCACGTTAGGGCAGCCTCTGCCAGCTCCCTGGGCCTCCTGCCAGGGAGGCCGCTTTCCCAAGAAACAGGAGGCTTCTTCCCTCGTGACCGCCTGTTTGCTCAGCCTTGGCCGCAGGTGGGAGGGGAGGCCACGCCTGGGGTCCAGGGCACCACGGCGGGGGTGGGGGGGTGCTGGGCGGGGTGGGGGCAGCACTGGCTGTTTGGGATGTACAACGCGTCCTCACCTCGGCCAGGGGTCTGCACCGCCCCGTGTCGGCCCCTCCCCAGGAGAGAGAGCCTAGGGCCCTATTCTCATCCCACCTTGCCCGGGGAGAAGTCGGGGTGCAGAGAGGTGAATGACCCAAATGCGGGTCCTTTGACTCCTAGCTCAGGGCTCCCTCAGCAGCGGGGATCCCCACCCCTCCACGCCCCACACCCCGCTTCTTCTCACCCTGAACCCCCCCAGGAACCTGCTGCCCACTAAGCCTGGGTCCCAGTTCTAGCACTTTCTGCTGAAACCCAAGTTAATGGTTGACTGCGGTGGAGGAAGGTCCCCCCGGCGGTCCAGGTCTGAGGGGCCTGGGCTGGCTGGCCGGGGGGCAGGGCTGATGAGCCCCACCGTGGTCCTGGCGCCCCCCCCCCAGGTTGCAAGCTGGCTCGGGAGAGGAGAGTTTGCTGCACAGTGAGCCCCTCCCCAGTGCTGTCCCCAGGGTGTCCACTTACTACCCAAAGCCAGGGGACACACACGCAAGGACCCTGACCCATAGGCACAGACAGTGAGGCTGGGGGACTGCAGCTGGCCCGAGGTCTACGTGGTCGTGCGGGACTCTGACCACGGGATGAGGAGTCCCGGCTCCTGCTCCGACGTCCCCCCACCCCGGGTCGGGGTCCTGTTCACCTCCTGATCACCTCCACCCCACCCCGGCCCCCCACTGCACCTCACTGTCAAGGTCATGCCCTCCAGCACCCTTGATCATCTGCTCCTCGGGTCAGGAACCTGGCCTGCTCCCCACTGCCCGCCTGGCCCCGGGGCTGGGCCATCTCTGAGTCCACTTCTCACCCAGCCTCAGAGCCAGGGGCCACATGCTGTCACATGCTCAGACTGTTTTCTAGGTGGGAACAATCCGGCCACAGTGGGAAGGAGTCCCTGTGCTGGTCTCTGGCAGGGTCTGGCCCAGAACCAGGGGCCAACATGGCGACCCCACATTCAGACTCAAGGAGAAAGGCATTTCCCACCGGGTCCCAGCGCTTCAGGCACAACTTGGCTCTTTTCACCTGCGTCGTTGTCCCCCGACCAGGTTGCCCCTTCCTTCCCACCACAGTCAGCCGCAGCGCTCCTCCCGCGGAGCCCCTCACAGCCCCTTCCAGCTTCCCGGGCCTGCACCGTGGGGTGGGGCAGGTTAGCATCAGGATAGGTCCCCAGTGGAGCTCCTCGTCCAGAGAGAAAGCTGGGCCCAGAGAGTGGTGGGAAGTTGCCCACGGTCACACAGCAGAGCCAGGGCCAGACCAGGGGCCTCCTGACATCAGGGCCCCTGCTCCATCGGCCTGGGGTCCTGGTGTCTGCCAGGCCCTGGGGACGCAGGCCCAGCCCTCCCAGCTTCCCGAGTCGCCCCCAGCCCGCGTCTCCTGAGCGATGCCTCCAGTTCCCAAACCGCGAGCTGATCCTTGTGGATTAAGCCACCGTCAGGATTAAGGATCAGCATGTCCGGCCCCCTCCTGTCCCCGAGCCCCCGTCCTCCCTGAGACAAAGAAAGTGTGGCAACAGCTGGTGGAGGCCAAGGCCCAGAGACGGCCATCCCCAAGTCCATCTGCCGCCCGCAGTGGCAGGGTGGCCGCCAGGGGGATTAGCCCCTGGGCCCCTTCGCTTGCTCCTCCCTGTCCCCCAGGAAGCCAGGCCAAGGAAGAGGCCGAGGGACCCAAAGGCAGGTTTGTGCAGCTGTTCCCGTGTCCTCTCTGCCAACTCTCTGGGGCCAGAATGTGCCCTGGAGCCCTGCCTGTGGGTCCCCACCTCCCATGCAGCCTGCTCCTCTCCTGGGAATGAGTCCCCTGCAGTCCCCTGGAGTCCCCTGGAGGCCCTGGCGTGGCCTGTCTTCCACACCCTGCGGATTGTGGTGTGGGGTCAGCATGCCCGGGCCCAACCAGGACACTGGAGCCCTGCCCAGGCCCCTGGAGAAGGGCACTCAGGAGCGTGGGCGGGGCAGGTGACAGCCACCCACCCCTCTGGCTCCCTGCTCAGCCCCCAGCCAGCCCAGGCGGAAGGGAGGGTCCCCTGGCTTCCCTCTGCAGCCCCCGGCCCAGAGTCAGCCGCCCCCCTTCAGCCCCTGAGCCAGGGTCGGGGTTTGGGTGGGGGTTGGGGCCCCGCCGACAGCCACACGGCCTGGGCAGGGGTGCCTGGGCCAGCACCCCTACACCACGCACCCCCTTCAGCTGGTCAGCACCTTGGAGAGAAGCCGGCGTGTCCCAGGCCACTGCCCACAGCCCACTGGGTGGCCGCCCGGCTTCTCTGACCTCCGGGCTCAGGCCCCCGCCCCCTCTCCTCGAGGCCCTGCCGACCCGGGGTGCCCCAGGGTCCTTCAGAGCTGCCCCCCAGACCTTAGCACCCGCCCCTCTGCCCGGGTGCCAGCCTCTGCCCACTGGGGAGAGTGCCCTGGGGCCTGGGCAGGTCCAGGATGGGCTTTCCCTCCAGCACCCGCTGTGGCCATCCCACGCTCCTGCTGCCTGTCCTCGGGGCCTCGGGGCAGAGGGGACGGAGGGTCCGTGGGGTGGGGAGGGACTCACCT